TGTCGGGTCAAAGCACCGTGCAGGAACCAGCAACAGCATGTGGGACCACGAAGTGTTGTCCCTGCATGTAACACTCAAGGAATCTCACGGCAGTGCCTGGCCCGCTCACCGACCTGCGCGGCAACACAAACATAAATGAGGCAGTTTTGGGATGTCGGAAACGTGCCTTGATCCAGCTGGGCAGATCCTGAAAACTCACTGGACAGCAAACAGACGCAAGGAAAGGCAAGGCAAGTTGCAGCTCCTTGGCAGCCTCATCTTCACCTCATAACAGACATTCAACCGGTATGCCTTCATGCCCCCCCCCCCAGCCAGCCAATTCTCGTAAAACCCTGGCTCCGCCTTCGTCTGGCTCAACAAGGAGTAGGTTTCGAGGCAGCCATCCTTCTCGCCTGTCCTGAAAAATGGCAGAAGGACATCCATGCTTCACGTGTCAAAAACGCCAAGGAGGCCAGTGCCCTGTCCTGCTCCGACCTGCACCACGCCCAGTCGGCATTTTCCTAAGCGAGGGTCAGCTCAAATGCGCCTGTAGCATGTGTGTGTGTGTATAGGTAGGAGCTGGGAACAAGGCTGCATCTATGACCAACACGCGAGCACCCTTGCCAACGGAGAGCTCATGCTCGCTGCTGCCAATGACCTTCACAGAAAACAGCCTTGTCTTTTGGAATGCTCAAGGTACATGTTGCATCTGGCATCCGATTACATCCTTTGCCTCACTCACCGTGGTGGCGTATTTGCCAGTGGCATTTTGGGACAGGCCATGCTGTGACCTGCAGTGCGAAAACTAGCTTGCCGTTGCATTGCGCGATGTCAAGAGCTGTCTTGGCACCAAACAGGGACTCTGTGATTTGCTCCAGCTCCGAACCCAAATACAAACCTCAAGCCGCGGCGCTGTCGTGCTTTGCCGACGTCCCTCTAAACAGTTAGCAGCAGCAGCTTACGTTTTCCTTGGGCACCCTGCAGAACTGCATACACTTTTCCATCCATTCTGGATCCGCACTTCGGTCCTCGGGCTTGGCCTCAAAGCGACGGAATGCCAAGGCTGAGAAGCTGCGCGTTTGCCTTGCTGAACCAAGCACGTAGATTAGCGTCCCCTGATTTTTGCGCGAACTTAGCTCCCCCCCCTAGTAGGCACCGTAGGTTGAGGGCTGGAAAGGTTGGCGCGCGTTCAAGCGCATGCTGCATTGGATGTCCGACATGTCTGTTTGGAACTCTTGGGTGTTCGTTGCTCGCTGCTGGAGATGTCCTTGTCCTTGCCAAAGACATATTGTCACCATGTGTCTCCCACTTATACACTGCGGCCCTTTCTGACCGAACCTCGTAAGCAAATGCTTGTGCTGTGCCTGCTCGAGGTACGTCTCCAGCTGTAGCGCATAGGCAACTACCTGCAAGACAGGTAGGCGCCCGAGAAGAAACCTTGCAGCTCACCTTGCCTCCTCAAGCGCCTGCAGAACCAGTCGCTGCCATTTTGACCTTGATGTCCATAGGGCGCTGGACCGATGGCTTAACTATTGGTCCGAGTGCTCTACATTGCAGGCCAGGGCTCGCACGCCAGCATTGCTTCTGAGCGATTGTCTTGTAGGTAGGCATCTGTCACCCAGCCAATTTGCCTGTTGGATTCAACTGACAGATCTGCCAAATCTAGTCTTGGATGGCTAAAGCACACAACACCACACCTGCTATCAACCGAGCCCGGAAGTTGTGGACCTAATTGGGGATGCAATTCACGACACGGCCAAGCATAGAAGTGCAAGCACTAAGCCAACCACCATTCCACAAGCGACACTGCGCCCAGCCACTGTAGTGGCGGCTAATGACCTTCGCTCCCGGCACACAGAGGGCCACTATGCCGCAGTCCCTATTTTCACCGCTGAACTAAAAAGCAATGCCTTGCTGCTGTAGACACCCCTTCGCATACCAGAAAAACTGCAACGTACCACTGCCTCGACAACATCGCCGAGCTTGAGATTCAGCAAACCTCGCACAAATGGACGACATCGAGGGCGGCCATCCGATGCCGTCTTGCACTGAAGCCACTGGCCTTCAGAGTCTCCAACTTCATGATCTGAGCAGCATGCGATGATCAAGCCGATAAGCCAGGCAGTCAGTCGCCGAGGCTTCAGAGACTTTCATTGGCAGAATTGCCTATTCGAACAGACAAACAGAAAACAAACAAGCAAACAAGCAAGCAAGCAGGAATGCCAGCAGGCAACCAAGCAACCAAGCAACCAAGCAACCAAGCAACCAAGCAACCAAGCAACCAAGAAACCAAGCAACCAAGCAACCAAGCAAGCAAGCAAGCAAGCAAGCAAGCAAGCAAAGCAAGCAGACACACAAAACACAACAAGCACAAACGCAAAACAACCACCCCCCGCCTGCCCCCTCGCTCGCTCGCTCGCTTGCTCGCTGGCTCATTCGCTCACCCACGTATCCAAGCACCCAAGCACCCAAGTGCCCAAGCGCCCAAGCACCCAAGCACCCAAGAGCCCAAGCACCCAAGCACACGCCCCACCCACCCCACCCCACCCACCCCACCCGCCCCGCCCGCCCTGCCCGCCCGCCCGCCACCCGCCCCCCCGGCCCCCCGCCCCCCCGCCCACCCGCCCACCCGCCCACCCACCCGCCCCACCCCACCCCCACTCCACCCCACCCCACCCCACCCCACCCCCACCCCACCCCACCCCACCCACCCCACCCCACCCCACCCACCCCACCCCACCCCACCCCACCCCACCCCACCCCACCACCCCACCCCACCCCACCCACCCACCCACCCTTACGCCCACCCTTACACCCACCCTTACACACACCCTTACACACACACACACACACACACACACACACACACACACACACACACACACACACACACACACACACACACACACACACACACATATATATATATATATACATGCACGCTCCCAAGCACCCACGCACGCACGCCCAGACCGCCTCATCTCACCTCACCTCACTCGATTCACTCAATTCACTCCCTCGCCTCACCTCACTCATCTCACATCACATCACATCACCTCACATCATCTCACATCACCTCACATCACCTCACATTATCTCACATCACCTCACCTCACGCCTCACTCGCCTCACCCTCTCACCCCCTACAAAAAGTTATTGTCGCCCCGATTGCGTGACGAAGGTTCAATGGCATGTGTGCCCGCATGCCGCCCTGCTGCCTGCAACAAGTTGGGCAAGTTCTGCCACACGGTCTGCTGGTAGCCATCCAGGCGTTTTGTCACCAACACGCCGACAGTAAGACCAGCCTGCCAGGGCAAACACGCAGCAGCACGAGCTGCGCTACTGCTTTGGGAAGTTGGCCTCCCATCTCGCGGATCAGGATTTCCTTCCGTAAGCGCGGCTGTGCACTGCTCTTTGGGCAAAAGGCTAACCCCCGTGATCCCGCAGTGCTGCCAAGATGCTATCTGTTGCCCTTCCAAGCCCTTGGAGCCAGAGTTGTCACCAAGTGCTCACCACTGGAAAATGGCTCACGAGCCATCTGCTGCACAGATCTGACGCATAGCATGTCCTGTTAAGCTTTTGACCTTTAGCAGGGCCACTTCGTCAGAGACAATCTCCGGCTCGTACGCCACCTAGGAAAGGGAGGCATGGCTAAACCGCACGTGTGAAAAATTGCTGGCAGCCGTGATTCGCAAGGCAAACGAGTCTCGCTTTGTATGGTGCCTGCTCCCGTCCCCCATCATCTCCCATCCCCAGCCCTTGCGTCTCGCCACCATGACGATCCCGTTCACTCTCACCGGCTGCTCTTCCAGCAGACCAATCCTTGGATTACCATGCGGCTGGCCCAGAGTGATCGTGGCAACACGCCGTGTGATCCGTAAGGCTGAAGCTTTGAGTTTTCGATTTCTGCCACTTGCTGCTGCATCTTCGTGCTGTAGTCCTCTGCATGCCCATATGCCCGACATGCTGAATACACAGTTAACTAGGTGTGTTCACACTGCCCCAGCCTCCGCCTTGCTGCGGATTTCCACCTCAGCAACAGGGACGCTGCATGGCCCCCATATCTTAGTTTCAAAGCTGCCAAGATGCAATTCGCTGCGCGATTTGCTGGATGAGCTGCTTTGTTTCCTCGTCATCTTCTTGCGGCTCCTGGCATGCGGTGCAAGCAGGGACTTTGGACTCCTATGCCTATGCCTCTTGCCACTATCACACCCGTGACAAGTCAATTTCAGTCTCCTGGTCCTTTTTGGCAGGAGAAGCAGGAGGAGGAGGAGGCTTCTTGCTCGCCAAGCAGCCCATGGCAAATCAGCAGAATCGAGAAAGTCGTCCGATTTTGCGTGTTGCTTCTAGGCCCTTACATTGACTGCCTAGGGCGGGATTGTTTCCCTTCAACCTATCACTCGGGAGGAGTGATTTTAGAAACGCGGCTTGTGCTTGTCAGCGCCTGAAGGAAAATGCGGACTTTGAAACTAGCAGCAAGTGGTTGCGCTTAGCCTAGACTCAGACTATAGGTAGGCAGTGAGCCTTCGATGCCTACACAACTCACGCAGGGTGAGCTGCCACCGGCCAGCCTCAGTTTGTCACTCATTTCACCAAACTCCTAACCAGCATGAGCCATCCGCTACCGACTTCATCCAAGCGGCCCATAGGCAGCGTTGGCACGGCCCCAGAGCTGGCGCTTCGCGACCGGGCTTGGGCCAGTGCTACGACGTGCCACTCGCTTTGCTGCTTGCCACATGCTAAAACGCGCAAGGCCAGTCCCTGAAGCAAGGAGGAAAGGTCAGCGGCAGCACTTTTGCAAAAGCATTCTTGTCAAGCTCCAACTTCCAACTGTCTCATTTGACGTCCGTTAAACGTCTTCGGTCCACGATGGCACGACCTCTCTTGAATAGGCAAGCCCTTCATCCTCAATCCTTCAGTGTCTGGGGGCAAGAGGCGTGGCCAAGCACTTGATCAGAAGAGCTGGCTATCCGCCGTCTCGGGCTCGCGGGGCTGGGGCTCTTTTCCAAAAGCTACAGCTCTGCCGTTGGCGGCTTTGTTGTCACCGTGCCTGCATCGCCGGGAGAGGGATCGGCAGCACCACTGTGGACAGCATTGTCTTTCAACAAAGCGTGCACTGAACGACGCAGCGGGCAATAAGTGCCCCTTGCACCAAAAAGAAATGTCAAGTTGATACGGCGAGATCGCACAGTCTGAGACGGAAATGACAAAGGCTGCGTAGCGTGAACACGAGCGCTGTCAAATACCACTGCGCGATTCTGACGATATGGCACAGACACGCTATTTCCGCCGGATTTGTTCACTTTATCCTCGAGGTAGGGCTTGCCTTCTTCTGAATTGTACTGCCTGAAGTTATCTTGCGTGGCATCTACGGCTGCGTCAAAAATTGTCAGGCCACCCGAGGAGTTGTCAAGGTTGTCTGAGTCAGGTGTAATCCAAAGGTTGACATTCACAGCAGCTGCGTCCGCGTGCATGTCAACACCCTTTTCACCCTCGGCAAACTTGAAGGCCCAAACATGTGCCAGCGGAAGGTCACACAATACTTCCGAGAACAAAGAGCGCAACTCTCCTGCTAACTGTGCAATGAATGGCGAGCACAAGCCAGTGCTTAAAGATGCGCCCAGGTAACTACCCCGTTCTTGATACCAAATAGTTGATAACTCTAGAAAGCTCCGAAGCGACTGCAAGGCTGAAGGTGTCAAAATGTTGTCAACTACCAAAACCCCTCCAGTTGCCAGAAATCCTCCTGCTTGGCTTGCTGTTTGCGTTGGGGTGCGGCGCAGTTCAATCTTGAGTGCTGAGGCAGGGCTCAGCAAAGAATGGTCTGAGCGTGGGCTTGGGTGCACATACAACCTGCGATTGTAGAAGGGGTACATGCCATGCCACTGCTCCTGCGTGGGACGCAGAAGCCCATTGGTCTCTCTTGGGGCTGACTCTAGCGCGCTCCTGTATGCCTGAATTGCATCTGATGCACGATCCGATGCGCTCAGCAGGCCCATGTTCTGAAGCAGCTGGAAAAGCTCGATGTCATGGCGGAGCCGATGCTCGAAAACCAGGCCCAGCAGCCCGACGTTGCCATCATTTGCCTGCATCTCCCCAGAGGGGATGAAACCGTGGGGCGGCAGACCAGCCTCCAACAGGCCCGACTCCTGCTCTCTGAGAGATGATTGCGGGCGTTGAAAGCGAACCGTTGCGTATGCGGCCCAGGCATCAAACAGTGTAGAATGGTCTTCTGGAGTGGGTGGTGTGAGGTGGCCCCAAGACCCCCCAGAACCCCAGTACAACTTGTAGCCATCATCACCCGCTCTTGGCAGCAAGTTTGCCAGCATCGACTCTGCAGCAAGCTCCCTCAAAAGAAACATGCTGTCAGGATACTTGGCCGCAGCTGCTACAAATTGCAATCGTGCCTCCTCCGGTGCCCTCCAAGAAAGAAGCAAGTCCCAGCCCAACTGAATCTGTTTCACGATTTGCTCACCCGCGCTCAACACCTCAAAGTTCTCCACCATTTTCTGCAGTGTCTCCTTCCAAGAATGCCAAGTAGCAAGGCCCTAACCTTGAAAACTCATTCTCCCTGCAAACTTAGGGTTACCGGCACTGCGGATTCCCATAGTCACATCTGTCACAATGACATTTCGAAGGCGTGCAAGGTACTTTCTCCACCAGCCTCGACACGATTCGGACATACTGGGGCACACTCTGGCACGCCGTCAACAAGACGAACAACCAGAAAGGACTATGATTTGAGAACCTGGAGGAATGCACCACATGTTGTTTCTTGCCGCGACTGTCAGCGACCTGATGCGAGAAAGATACCAAACACTTCTTGAAGTCAGACAACCCCAAACGCGTCTGCTTCTCAGATTCTCAGGTACATCCTTCACCTTGATTTGCATCCCATTCATAGTGTGCCCAAACACATGACGTGAAACATGCTAAATGTTGTTTGCCTGGTGCTTCACGCAACAAGAGCACGTGCGGGTCATGGTTGGACAAAAGGCAAGGGCATGGACTCGTATGGAAAAATTGAATAGCTCTAAGCGCGCGAACCGCCCAGTAGATTTGTGTGTCTGAAATGTCCGTGTCCCTAGCCTGCGTTGCGACATGCACCCGGGAACATGCACAGGCGGAACCTGGAATGTAAGTACAGTAGCGTGCGGTATTCATTGACATCGTGACATCAGCCATTGCTCTTCTCACTACGTGAACAGGGCACACCCCCTTGTTTTGAGAATGTCAAGGCGAATAACAGGACTTGACCCGGCTTTTGTCGCTTTTGTCTGGCATTCCAGCAGCCATGCTAACTAACCTCCACTGTGATTTAGCTGCAGCCCAAGTTCCTGGATAACTGTGTGATCGGAATCACTGCATCCGCCTTGGAATCACAAGTCTCGGCAAGCAGCCACTTTCACCCAACTGCTGCAATTTCTGTGCTTCCCCGTACAGTAGTTGTTGCTTCTCATGGATCACAGGCACCTCCTCCCGCGGCTTGCAAATGGTTGCAAGCAGCAGCAGCCAAGGTGTCAGTTGGATCCCCGTGACGGATGATCATCCTGCAAAAGCTGCATGTTCCAAGACCACCATGCAATGTCAAAGTAAAACACTTCTGGAAGGCACCCATGACGTGGCTGCAATGGAGGAATTGTGCAACATTCAAATCATCCGAAAAACGAGTCTCCTGATTGAGACATTGGCCTGCATCAATTTGTAATTGATGGCGTCGGCATGCAGTTGCCAGTAACCAAGCTGCAAAGCTGCTCAACGCTACTTCCATCAATGCCCTGCCTTCTGCAGATTGGTGGATGCCAAGATGGGTTGCCTCACGTTCACCGCTATGCCCGCCTTGCTGGCTTCTACACATCCTCGATTTCCACAGCAACACATCGACAGACTTAGGCAGGGCTTTGGAATCCAAGCGTCCTTGAAGACAAACCAGGAGGACGCATCTCCGCGCAAGGCGTGGCCATAGCCAGTCACACTCTGAGCCCAAAGCCATGGGCAGGTGTCGCAGCTGTCGCAGCTGTCGCAAAATGCTAAGTCCGGTTGCTGACTGCTGTGACAGGCGAGTCCTCTGTTACAGACAGAGTTGCTGCATCGCCACTTTTTAAGCAGTCAAGGGGATGACTGCAACAAGAGTCACAAGTCTGTGAAGACTCCTCCTCTTCCTCTCCAGTTGCTGGCACTTGCACGTGCAAGTTGCGGCCTACTGCTGGCTTCAGCCACATGTTTCTGGTGTCATGTATGGGCATTGCACGCGCTGACTGGAGACATGTCTCAAGGTCTGAGTCATTCAGGCCAAGCGTGCTCCTCTTTTGCGCTCAGAGATTTTCTCCTCGCACTCATTTGAGTCATATGAGCGAGCTAACAGTGCCTTAGTTTGCTCGCGATGGTTTCGTGTGTGATCTGTGCATGGGCCTCCGGCAGATCAATTAGGAAGCAAATGCATGCGGAAAGCACCTCACTGAACCACAGCTGCCTCCCGCACGCAACGTAACACCAGTCAGCCCACGGCAAAGCTCTGTTTGAGCATAAGTGGCCTCAGCATCCCAACATAAGCGGCACTGTGAGGCATGTACTCAACAAAAATGCCTGGCATCTTGGGCTTGAGCCGCGTCGCGCTGATTGCAACCCTGCGCACGCACGGGTGCTTCTAACCGCCTCCGAGCCTCTCAAACAACAGCACTCCTTAGACGGCTGCGAAGCCCTTCAAACCCCATATCATGTTCAAAAGGTGCATCTCAGCCCCCGACGCTCTTTGACTGCCTGCTTCACTTGTGCTGTGTGTTGACACGGCCTGCAGCTGGAGCTGCAACACAAGCTGTGTTAGCGGCAGATGGCAAGCCTGCCATGACTGGTACAGCGATGAGGTTGAAGCCTGTCCGGCAGGATAAGCCACTCGAGCAAACTTGGGGGCCAGCTAATAACAACGTGGAGGAACTTAGTTAGGGGTTCCAAAAACGTGTTAAGTTTATGAGTATGTAGGGCATTCTTCTTTCAGGCCAGGAAATCTGCCTCAGGCACCACCAGGCTTTGCATTTCGATTTTCGGTTTTGCACAAATGTGCTTACTGCGGGACAATAACATGGCGCGCTCAATTTGCTCCCAGAACGGCTAGAGCCGACAAAGCATGCTCGACCTACTGCTATGCGATGTTTGCCGCAATGGGGAAAGTGAATACAGCACTCGCATCCATTGAGGCTTCACTGCTTCACCCTTTTGGGAAGTTCTTCAGTCAAAACTTGGCGTCACCCACAGGCCTCCGAAGCCGGCCTGTCGTACACCGTCCACTGGCCTCTGCCGCTTGGTCCCAGAAGCAGCACAAGCACATGGCGCTCAGAGACTGACACCCGAATTCATTGGAACGGGAGGGGCACGTGCCTCTGCATGCAGCGTTGCAGTGCGTGATGCAACCTGTGTCCTGAGACGCGAGCCCCAGGTCCTGCAGAAGCTTCTTCTTGTATCCTTGTGTTGCAGTTGTGTTGCAGTTGTGTTGCAGTGCGCACGCTACCTTTCCGGGTTTCAGCTATCAGCTGAGGGCTGCGCGAAATCGAAGCCCTTAGCACCACCAATGCCCAGACACAATTGCAAGTTCTTCAAGCGGCTGAGACCAACACTCTGCAGCCAGGGTCCTGCCCAGCCGCAGTATGCAAAGCCAAACCCACCACGTCGCGTCCCAGCCCCCATAGCTCCTGTTCACATGAACCCTCGCACTCCAGCAGGCCAAGCTGTGATACCTCAATGCACTCGGAACGTCTAAGGCTGCAAGCAAACAAACAGTCCCTCCTGGCGAATTTGCGCTGTTGCCACTTCACACAGCGTGCCTTAACCCATCCACTCAAACTTCCAATACGACCGTCTCTCTGAAAGAAAGTGACATGTTCCTGGGGCTGGACATCTGGTTGGTTCATAGCTGCTTTCCACCATGGGGGAGAGTATGTCCCGACCTGGCCAAACACAACTGCCTGGCCTCCACCCCCGCCCCGGCCAATGCAAACAACAATGACAACGGGGAGAAAAAAACGGAAATGATTCGAGTGATTTCTCGCAACTCGCTTTGCCCCCCCCACAAGCCGTGCCGAATGGCGGCAGTGCCGCTAGATTAAAACATGAATTATCTGCATCACGCGCACCTTACTGTACGAAATTGGCAGCAATGCAGCCGCACTTCTGTGGTGTGCGTGTTCGATTGCTGGCATAGGGCATTTGCCAAAGTGGCAGCAACCTCAACGGAAGCGTCTACCAGGCCCTCAGCCTTCTTCACCCTGAGCAGTGGCTCGAGGCAAGACACACCAAGGATGTGCTAATCATGCCTTGACGAGATTCTGAAATTCGGTCATCAGGTTCCGCACCTGGCTGTTAGCATCCGCATGCAAGGCGACAGAAGCAACACAATGGACAGCCAAACAGCTGGCCTGCAAAAGGCTATCCTCGGCGTCTGCCAAGCTCGCTTTGGTCTTGCTACTTCTTGGCGCTAAAGTCTTCTCAGCTTTCTTGGCGCTTGCCAAGGTAGCATCCTGGCACAAAAATTAAGCAAATTGCCAGGAACGACATGAAAAAGAAGAAAAAGCAAACACGAGCCACATTTGGTGACATGGATTGCCAAACGCCTTTTCCCGCACAATGGCGTCAGCGGACAAGAAGTCTGCCTCCAAATCAGGATTAGCTTGAATAGTGAATAGCCACAAGCCTATTGAAAACAAAAAGCTGCTTGAACAGATTGCGGCCTGTCTCTGCTCTTGCAGCTGCGCTGCTGCTTCCAAACCAGCTTCTGCGTCTGTCAGTGCTTGTGCACGGCTGGAGGCCTGCAGCCAAACTATCTCAACGCGACAGATTGCCTGTGCTTCGCCAGGCATTTCCAACCTTTCCACTAGTGCAAGAGCCAATCAACTTAGCTTTCCTCAAACATTTTGAGATCATCCAGGGTTCATTCTGCCTCTGTCTCGAAGCCTTCCAGCTTCTCACTGTAGCTGGCAATGGCTCTGTGTAGAAGCTCCTTGCCAAAGTTCAAAGGCACCGTCAGTGAGGACATCTCAGCCCGGCCTCTGAGTAGGCAATAGCCTCACATCGGAAAGCCACGGCATATCCCATTCAACGTATCCACGACATGCATCCTCAAACTCACTGAAAGCACTAAAAGTGACCGAGGAGAAAAAACCAAGCACCACTTTCCCCAGTAGATGGGTTTATTTGGGGTGGGACTGAATGAATGGAGGGGGTGTTGCACGGGTTTAAGGCCGGTTTGGGGTTTGGGGTTCATGGAGTGGGTTTGGAGTTGGCTCAACTTGGCTTAGTGGGGGTTTGGAGTTCATTTAGGATTTAGGGTCCGTTTAGAAAAGGCTGGTTTAAGCGGGTTTCGGGTCAGTTCAGGATGGGTTTGGGGTTGGTGTGGGCTTGGTTTGGGGTTGTTGTATGGTTTGCCGGCTGAATTTTCAGTATATAAGTATAGAATCGGTTTAGTTGGCTCAGGCACGCAAGACCGACGCGTTAACAAACTGCAAAACCTCTTGGGCGCCCTGGCCTTCTCGGCAAACTTGCCACGATCTGCTGGCTTCGTTTTCAGCGCAACTGGCAAAGCACCATTTAACGCAGCATCTAGACCGACAGGCTCCAACATCTTCAGCACAAATGTGATGAGCTTGGACCGCTCACGCCACTTCTTCCCATCCATGCTTCCAGCCTAGGTCGCAGCTTCGAGACTGCAAGCACAAATCTCCTCCTCTCTCTCCCTCTCTCTCTTTCACAAGCTGACCTGGCCTTGAGTACTGCCCAGTCTCCTTCAAGGAGGCTCTCATACTCAGCTTTCTCAGCAACTATGGCAGAGCGATCTGCTTCCATACTCTCCATCTTTGCTTTGGCTGCGGCGACGGCTGCCTGAGCAAGCTTGGTTTCCTTCTCTGCTTCTTGAAGCATCTCTTCCTTCTGAGTCCGAACTGCTCGAGCGCTGGCTGCTTCCTCTGCAGCAACTTCGACTGCTTTTGCAGCTTCTGCAGATTGCTTTTGGACATCCTCAAAGGTCACACGGGCTTCTTCCACCACTCGGACATGGTCAGCTTCCACGTTGTTCACCAACTCTACGAGGCCCGCAGTCATCTTCTGCTGGAAGTCGTGCCGGTCGGCCGGGCAAGTGCGAAAACAGTGGGGGACCATGCCCGAGAGCATTGCCTTTGTGGACTCCGTCACATTTGCCATCCCAACCAAGTGAAAGATAGGCTCAAACCTCGAATTTGCATCATCGGCTTTCTCGGCCTTTTTAGCCTTGGCTTTCGGCGAGGTCTTGGTGTCGGCCGGCCTTTTGGTCATGAGGGGCGGTCTGCAGAGCCCTTCGAGCAACGTGGCTAAGCCGCCAAACTTGTAGAAAGTCATGCATGTCAAAATAGTCAGTCGTGGTGTTTATGGGCAAGCTGCACTGCGCCGGGCATCCTCCCGGGAAAACATGACAGATCGCACCCAGCAGCACACAATTGGCTTGCAGCACCTGGACAGCATGCATCGTGTCAAATAATCTGATTCAGAGCTTGCACCTCCAGCGTTGCTATCACCTGCGTACAGCTATCTTCCTGAAGCCCAGCATCCTGGCCAACAAATGCAGAGCAAACATGTAAAATATTGCCAAAAGGTGAAAACGGATTGGCCAGAATTGGAGGAAAATGGCAATCAAACGCTTGAGCCACGCACGTTTTACTCGGCCACCCTTCCAGCAAACAAAAGTAAATCTCCTGTCTGTGCAAGATTCTTGGTCTAGAAGTCCTCTGCCCGCAAAGTGAGTGCGATGATAAGATGTGCTGCGTTCATGACTCAATGACTTATCGCATGTGCCGACTCGGCTTTGGGGCAAAGTACTGTGCCAACTTTCGGCTTTGGGCAACAATTCTCGACATGGCTTGCAAACAGTGCTTAGAAGTGACGTGGTGCCCAAGCCGATGCAAGGGGTGCACAAAGGCTCACCCAAGCGACGAGGCAAGAAATATCCTTGTGATAGGCATTTGACCAGGAAATCGTTCCATAGCCACAGCACCCGAAGGAGACTGCGGGAATGAAAAGATATTGGGAAAGTTGCGTGACGCGTCCACGCAGTTTCCACTGAAATTGCCATCTCTCAAAGTGCTCCAAAGAAGCCTCCGACTGGGAGCTTCAAGGCAAGGCCCGGCCCTGAGCTATACAGTGAAGATCAAAAGCCTTGGGCCTGGCAAAGGTTGCAGTTGCATAGTTGCAGGTTGCCAAACGCAGCGCAAAGGCCACAGCAGATCCCCCTTTCAAGAGACCTGCCGCCCGCGCAAACTTAAACGTAGCTCAGCCGCTCCAGGCTGACAGTTCCTCAAATGGAAACTAGGAACCTTATATTGAAAGCATGCTCCAGCAGACAGGAGAGGGTTTGAAGAAACCCTTCCCTGCTCGGAAAACACTATATGCACAGAGGTGGCAAAGAAGCAGTCCCCTTGGCAAAGGAGCAAAGCCTGGGACTTGCAAACGTGGAAGGGCGGGGACTGAAAGCCCGGCCACAGAGTCCGCAGCGGGAGGTTAACTTCAGTGGCAGGCTTCCCCTCTTGTTTCTTGCAAATCTCAACCTCCCACTGACGCAAGGGCATGCACGCATGCCCCGAGCTGGACCCAACTGCCCCACGAGCAGGATTCACTCAGCGAGCTGGGACCTGCATGGGCAACAATCAACGTAAGCTTGCAATGATCAAGCAAGCCGGAAGCGCCTGTCCAACCATTTTCACGGAGGTTGCACGTGGATGCCCCTTCTCGCTGAGAGCCAATGAGAAAATCACCTGCCATCGCAGTTGGGCATCCTTTCTTGTGCCGCACATGCACTTTCCTGCGGAAGCGCCGGGCCTTGTCGTTCACCTGCACACTGAAAGCGTCAACATCGCAAACCAGCTATGGACAGCCTTTCGCCCAGCTTTGCGGGCCTGGATTCCTTCTGGGAGAAGCGCTGAATCCACGAAAACGTCTCGCTTGTAGTGAGCCTTCGACAAGCTTTGAAAACCCATGGCATAGCAATTCGGAAGTGCTGCGACGGTTGCTCCTTCTAATATCTCAGTTGAAGCACTGTATGAAGTGTCGTCTCTCAAGTGCCCCTTGCTTTCTCTTTCCTCTCTATCTGCTAATGTCATTTATGTCTCTCTTTCTCTCGCACTTGTGCGTCGTCCTTTGTCTCATCGCATGAGATGAAGCCGTATCCGTTCTTGGCACCTCAAGAACAAAGAATATCTCATCACCAAAGCGTGTCCTAAGATCTTCCAAGGCACTGATGGACTTCAGATTTCCTTCATACTCTTGGTTGAGTACAGGCCGATCACCTGAGGCTGGTGCACCTCGGCTCAGTGGCTTGTTTGCTAGTGGCACGTAGCCTGCAAGTGCCATGGCCATTGTGACATGTTCTAGGACCACCAGTGGTGCCACCAGTGTTCCTATGCCAAAGCACTGGGTGGAGCTGGCGCAGATGGCAATTTCACCGCTGGAGGAGATGGCGCAATGCTGGCGCCAATGCTAGGACTGAGTGACGGATTCAGGCCAGCGTTCAGGCCGGTCAGGCTGCCTGAGCCAAGGAATGATTGCAAGCACCCTGACTGTCAAAAACAACTCTCAGGACCATGCCGGTTAAGCGAGCCAAGCAGCTGTAGAAAGCCTGCTGGGTCTGGAATGCCTGCTGGGCTTGGCTGAGCAACTGGGCCTGCATCGCGATAGCAGCCGCTTGCGAATTGGGATAGCCTTGGTTGGCGTAGGCAGCCATGGGCGAGACCATGGGATAGCCGTAGCCAGCATAGGGATAGGCAGACTCGTTCTGGGCATACGGCCATCCGGCCTGGGGCGTTGGGGCGGGGGTTGCGGCCTTGCCGCCTTTGCCCTGAGTGCCCTTTCCTTTTTCACCTTTGGGCTCTTTGCCCTTGCCCTTTCCCTGGGTCTCTGCCTCACGTTCTGCCTTGGTGGTCCCTTTCTGGCGATCAGATAGCACGACAATGAGGTTCTTGCCCTCCACCTGCTTGTTGTTCATACCAGTGATGGCCTTGTTGGCGTCACCCATGTTGGTGAAGGTCACGAAGCCATAGCCACGGCATGTGCCATCCGTATTCTTCTTAACGTCCACGCCAATCAATTCACCAAACGGCAGGAACAAGCTTCGGAGCTGTTCTGGAGTTGCATCCTTCACCAAGTTCCTGACACAAAGCTGTACACCTGGAAAGCTGCCCTTCTTGCCGGCCCCCTTGCCCTTCTCTCCTTTGCCTCCCTTTTTGGGTGCTTGCGTCTCAGGAGTGATCAAACCAGGCTGCTGAGGGGGTCCCGGCTGCTGCACCTTCTTTTTGGGAAGCGCCTTTGCCTCTTTCGTATCTTTTGCAGGCTGTTTGGCAACAGCCTTTGCTTTGGCCTTAGGGGCTTGCGCGCCGGGAGGCAAAGGCGCCATTGGTGGAGATGCGGGTTTTGCTGCCTTCTTTGTTTCAGGCTTGTCGTGCTTCTTGGAACCTTCGGCTTTTGATTCTTTTGCCTCCTTCTTGGTCTCTTCATCTTTGGTCTCCTGCTTGGCAACCTCGGCTTTTGGCTCCTCCTTTACCTCTGCCTTCTCCTCAACCTGCTCCTCCTGCGCGGGGCACTGTTTCTGTTGACAGCTGGTGCCTTGAGTTTTCGACATGTATCACAACATTCACACAAAATGCCTGCCTTCGTCTCCTCCTGGGGTGCTTCACCGGATGTTTGAGATTGGCCCATAGTTGGCAAACCTCAACTCATGATATCTATGAAAAACACGTATGCATGCGACCAGGACCATGTGCAGCAAACCGTTTATGTGCGTGCCAAGCATCGTTGCACGGAGCTGTCTCTAAAAGGATACCCGGATAAACCCCAAAGCACAAACTTGAAGCTCGAGACGCTGCAGCCATGTCAGTCATGTGCCCATTTTGAACAAAACCCAAGGCCACAAGAAGATCAGCAGTATGTTCGCTCCCTTGATCAGCAGCCCCAGAAGCTACACTAAAGTGCACCCATGGCTCGTTTGCTTGCCTGCAGCAGGCATTTGACCACTGCTACCTGGCGTGCCAGCCCATTGACATAGATGATCACACTCCTTGCAATTGGAGGCGCGCATGCCGCTGCACCTGATGCACGGGAAAACGCAACCCCACTGAAAAGTTGCATGCACATCCTCAGAAACAGACGGTCATGCATTGTTCTAGCCTCAGCCAACGGCTACACGCTGTCTCACGCTCGCTCGCTCGCTCACTCACTCACTCACTCACTCACTCACTCACTCACTCACTCAGTCAGGCGGCCAGCCGGCCAGCCAGGCAGTCGGTCAGTCAGCCCACCCACCCATACACCCACCCACCCAATCACTCAGCGTGGGCTCACAAGGCACGGCTTCTTGGGCTGCCGCAGTGACACATTTTCGCCATCGGCTTCCCTGTCGCAAGTTTGCATTGTGCGAAACCGTTCAACTGTTTCAGCAGCGCCTGCGCGTCAAATTGCGCGCATCTGTCTGTAATGCTGCCAGCCCATCGCAAACCGCATGACCTTTTGAGAAAATGCACTGCAACATATGTACAAGTAAGTGATCTTGAGCTCTGCGCACTGTGTCAAAGGAGTAGATGTCGAAGTCTGAAATGTCACAAACAGCTTACGGTTCAGCACGTATGGCCCAAACCAAGCTTTACTCCGCAGGCTTGAAACAAGCCAGCTACACTGTGTAGTCAATCAATGATGCATTGGAAGCGTTGGCATCATTCGCATGTACCTCAGCTTGTTTTCGACTGGAGCATACACAAAGCTAGGTTTGTGCAGCTACCACCTCCACAGCCCGGCACGCAAATGATCAAAAGGGCACCACGTCCCAGAATAACTGTGGGCCGCATTGCTGCAATGAGCATTCATCTGCGCTGTGAACAACGCATGGCGCCCACATCAACTCCCTTAAAAGAAAAGGACCCAGCAACCTGGAACTCCACACTCTGAAACGAATGGGCCCGGGGGTTCATTCTGAAGGCGACAAGAACATTAGTCAGATTCCGTGTGTGGTTTGGAGACTCTGGCACAACGACACCGAATCTCCGCCTGGCGTTGACCCCAAACAGCATGCGTGCACTCTACAGAGTGTCTGAGCGTCAGTGCGATGCAACAGTTTTGGCCAGTGCTTCCTTGCAACGAGCAAACCCTATGCGCCCCAAGCCTGTGAGAACGGTTGTTTTTGTTGTTTGATTTCTCAATATGTCCTCAAGCTGTTTGCTTGTTTAGCGCAGATTAAGGCTGTGTAGAACAAAAAAGAAGGCTTTCTGACTTGGTTTTCTTCTCTGGGCTCAGTTTTCCCCAATAGTTCCTGAGTATTTCGTTACGGCGGCCCCCATTTTGCCGGCGGCCCCTGGATGCTTAGGGGTATGGCAACACTGAGGAAATTCGGAAGTGTGCTACGGGCATACTAAGGTAGGGTGCGCAGTGGAGACTTCAGATGCATGAGAGTGCCCTGTGTTCCTTGGCGATGCTTTGTGACGGCGGGCCCCTGTCCGGCCAAGGATTTCCCTGCCCCCCACCTTCGGCTTTCAGCATCGTCATGCCAAACAAAATCGGGGCAGGAGTAAAACAGCTGCAACAACAAGGCAAACACCACCAAGGGAAAGGGGCAGCTGGGCGACGGCACGGCCACGGGCGAGCAGGTTTCTACTGAGCAAAGGCTGCAAAGGTTGAAAAAACGCCGTATCACGCCCTAGCTGTACTTTGCAATGCAATGTCAAACGAGGGAAGCATGCGAAGCATATGTTTGCAGCGCGGGCTACAACAGAAGAGCACAAGCGACGTCTGCAGATGAATCTCTACTTCAATTTGGTTGGGCTTCTTTTTTCTTCTGGAACTCCTCGCAGCTGTGGCATCTTTTTTTCTGTGGCATTGGGTCCTAACTGCTGTCCTCACCGGCGCTGGGGCAGATGTGCGCGTCAGCATTCTCGAGGAACCAGCAGGTGTTCCGTAGCCAGCGCGGGGTGTCTCGCCCTTGTTTACGCTGAGGGCATGGACGCCGCAGGAAGCCGATGCCCGGGAATAGGTCTCATTTTTTGGTGATCCCTGACATATTTTGTTGATCCCCTGCTATCTTGTTGTGTCCCCCAGCCGACGCCTGGCCACAAACAACGCATCCGAAGTCCCACGACCTGAAAGGAAACCAAACTGTGTAAGCCCGATCCGGCTCTCCCTCGTGCCAAGCCACAAGGCGGAAACAATCCCACAAACAAACCACCAAGATGCAAGCAAACGGGAACCCCCCCCCCCGCCCCCAAACACAACGTGCCCGTCAGAGACAAAAAGGATACAAGCTTTTTCGGCCCTGGATCTCACAGCTGGAATTCACAGCTTGAGAAAGATGTGCGGGTTTTGATCAAACTGGACCGCTCGCTTTTTTCCCTCAAGCACGCCTTTTTCCATCGCCTGGTTCTTCCCCCCCCCCCCCAGGAAAAACCCTTTAGGGGATGCCCACGGGCACAAGGGGTCACAAGGGGTCTTGGCGGCCGTTTTTGGGGGGCCGCAAAGCCGGCCGTTTTTTTCGGCGGCCCGGCCCAAGACGCTGAGGGCACACGTCTGCTTGTGAGTGGTGGGGAAGTGGAGTCTGCGAGCAGGACACTCCAGTCCAGGCAGCCTGGGCCAGCAACTGTGCGACCTCGCTATCTTTGAGCCAAATCCTGCCGTCGAAATTCCTGCGTGCAGCTGAGCAAAGCTTGCGAGTCAAGAATGCGGCCAGAGAACCAAAGCCCTCAAAAGAGGCAACCCAAACACAAGCAGGCGGCACACAAATGCAAAGCCCAAGCGCGCACAAGCCGTCAAGTTGTTCTTTTCTGACCTATCTTTTGGGTATGGAGCGGCCTTCGGCCACTGGGAAAAAGAGTATCTCTGGCCTCTGTGGCCACGCACGAAAACGATCCCTCGATGGTCAAGAAAGTTTGACTCTGGCCCAATGGCCGCCTCTTGCACTCCGGCCCTGCGCGGGCCTCGACGCAACTCCGGCCTTGGCCTCGCACACTCTGGCTCTTGCCTCGTTTCCTCTTGGACTCCGGCTGTTGCCCCTCTTTCTGCTTGCTATGGGCGGGCGGGGGTCAAAGTTTCTGCAGCGCTCCCGCCACTCCCACCCCTTCTTGGGCAGAAACAGTCGGTGCATTGACAAATGCAACCACCGTAGCCATCAGGGAACAAAGCAAAAGGTCAAGACGTTTCCCTGTTTGGCCCAAAGATAGGGGCTATCAAACTCTGATTGAAAGACTCCATCTCTGAACCAAATCTTGACCATGCCGTGCATCCGCGGCCCGAAGATTTGCAGGCTTCGTCGTGGCTCCTTTTGCTTTTCTGCGCGTCCCCTCGGCGCCACGTCCCCCCAACGGCATAAAGTTTTGGCTGGCAGCTCGCACAGCTGCACACCCAGCTGCACCGCTCTTCCAGTTGCTTGCTTGTGTAGCAGCAGGACCCGTCTGTCCTCTCAGTTGCCGGTCCCTTCGCCTCAAACAACCACTCGGGTCTTCACGGTCAACTCACACGCCGACGGGCCCCCCCTCCTCTAAAATGGAGGTCAGGTAGCGGTCGACACCACGTTGGTCTCGCCACTCTCCTCCTCCAGCAAGCCCCGCAAACACGCTGGCTGCGATGACTGCACTAGGCCCAGCGCCGGAATGTCGCGCTTTCCATCGATGTTGGGGGCCGGTGGAGCCCTAAACTGCGCAGCTTCCTCAGCAACCTCGCTCGCTCCACGCCGGCCGTCCTTCAGCATGCCTGTTGGTCCGCCCTGCTTCCCTATTTCTTGGCTTGGTCTTTGGCCAGTCCAACTAACTGTGCCACACCGCTGAGTGCTCCTGCCCCTTGCTCGCATCGTCAAAATACATTGACACCAGCACGCAGACCAGCCTGCGGTCAAGGGGCTCCACCAACCTGGAATACCGGATGTGCTGCGCAGGGCGCAGGGGTGTGCACAGAACTAATTTGTTAGCATCGGATGACAACTCACTTTGTCCCCCCTGATCGGCGTTGTCGATTATACGTTGCTTGCCAGAACTCTGTGTGATAACACACCTGGATATTTAAACGGAAGGGAGCTCCCTTCACCGCTTGAAGAAGCTCTCGACGCCGCATCGGGTAGGTGCAGAAGCCTCGCTCCGCATCCAGGGTGGACTGAGACAGGAGGAAGACATCGTCCTTGCCTGCCCGCAAGGTGGCCAAGATCTGCTGGCTGTTGGCCTCCGCACCCATCACCACTTCCTCGAACGGGATGCGACGTGCCTCCTGCTCCGGGAAGATGCCATAGGGGGGCGCACAGCCGACTGCTAGGAGCCCGCAAATCAACCCGTACGGGTAGGACACATCCGGCCAGGAACTCAAGATGATCAGAAGAGCCGAAACCCACGTCCCGCTGGGCCCCTGCGGCTTGTTGCCGGCTGCCGTTCCCGCAGTGTAGCTGTGACGCCTTGCCAGCGTTGCTTCAGCTCCCGCAAGGCTCCCACCGCTTGCCGCCGAAGGTCGATCATCTGACCTCGCCATCGGGCACAACAGGCAGCTGCAAACCGGAGATCCGCGTCGGCATGGGTTCCTCCTCCAAAAGCGTCCGATCCCGTCGCCGGTGCCAGGCGTGGTCGAAGTGCTCATCCGGGGTAGGCTCACCCGCCTGAAGTGGCGGGAGCGCGGCCTTGTGGCTCAGGGCTCCCTTGCCAGCCCGTTGCGGTAACCTGTCGGAACCGTGCCGTGCGAGTGGCCAGCACCGGCCCCATGGGACCATCAACATCAAGCTCCTGGTCCTCGCACCACTCAGTGAAAGTAGAGAAGGGGAACGAATTGACGAGGTCCTCGATCATCGGACAAGTGGTGCGCTGAAGCCACTCATGGGGAAACAGGCGCCGGAAACGAGCCACAAGCAACTCCTGGGAATGCTTCTGCAAGTTGCGTGGAAGCGCCTGGGCACCTGGGATCCCCCCCAGGCCGCCAAGGCTGCTCTCCTGGGACGCCTACGGCTCACAGAGCCAGAACCGCGCCCCGCTCTGCCGCTCAAAGAAGGCCAATCAGGACGTCCGCCTCGCATGGGACCTCCATGGGGCAGTCGCAAACCAACGTCATCCGCCCGGACTGGTGGATGTAGGCCACATCATGCGGCAACCAATCATCTCCGCCACAGTGGATACCTGGCCCATTTGGAACATGCTAGACTATGGTGACCCATGCCCACATAGATGCGCGCGTCCGGCAGCCCACTCACGCATGGCCCTCGGGTCCGACAGCAGCCAGTCCTCCCTGCGACCCACACACTCAACCGTGAGCATCCGGGAGACTCGCAGCACTGCTCTGCCCGTTCGCACCGCCAGAGCACAACGGGGCCGTATACTCAGCCTCCTCCTTGCTCGGGTAGAAGCGACCGGCGGCACACTCCACAGGCTCCCACTCCTTGGGATCATGAGAATGGGTTGTGGCGCAGCCGTTGCGACTTGGCTCGAGCTCGCGTTGCTCTTGGGGCAGAGCCCAGTGTAGGCTCCGGGCGGGGTTCTCGCGAATAGATGCCCCACCCCGCACCTCCAGCTGCTCGATTTCCTCCAAAACCCATGCACAGGCCTGGTTGTCGACTGAGACTCGATTCAAGTCCCTGCCCCGCCTCCGGGTGTAGGCACCGCCAACCGCAATGAAGGAAAGCTTTGGTCAGTGGGACCCGCGGGCCGGCCATCAGATCGGCCATGAGGGGGGGAACCGGCTGCGGCAATTCATCCGCTTCCGACCGCGTTGCCCCCCGTGCAGTCCTTGGCCGCGTGCCCCAGCCCGCAAACCCGGTCTCCCCGGATCACGACCCCGCAGCGACGCACACCCTGCATGCACTTGCCTTTGCCGTGCTGGATCTGCGTCCCGTCGCGCATGGTCCGGGCCACCGGGCGACCGCCGATAGGTTTGCCCTGCGTGAGGAGGTTGGTACTTGCAGCAGCCTTGGATGCCGTTGCCGGTGCGGCCTGAGTTGTAGCAATCTGCGGCTCCTGAACCCCCACCGCCCAATTGGCGTCTCGGGCAGCGTAGATCTCCTTGATCACCACCCCGAGGGAGGCCGTCAACTCGCGGAAGAGTTACCCACTCAACATCCTTGGCCTGCAACCACTGCAAACGCCGAGCAGGCGGCAGAGCCCCTGCTGTCCGCTTAGCGCGGTAGTAGTACTGCATCGCCACATCCAGCGGGACCTGGACGAATTGAGTGGAATCCGCTCCCAGCGTCTTCTCCAACTGGATGTTCGGGCTGCCTTGCGGCGCCGCGGTACCCACCATCGAGTAGGCCACCATGAGCGTGCGGAGCTTGTCGAGATAGCCCTCCCAGTCCTGGAAGATAGGCTCCTCCTCATTGGTCTCTTCGGTGTCAGCCAGCTTCCGCTTGCGCCTCCTCCATGTTAGGAGGGGCCGCCCAGATGATCACCTCATCCCGGGCTTGGAAAGACCTCCCCGCTTTCTTGGACGGCTCCAACTGCACCGTTGGGATACCCTCCCAACCAGTGTAGTCCTGCAGCGTCTTGAGCGCTTGTAGGGCTACGAACTTCTGCTTGAAACTCAGCAAGTAGCGAGCACCGGAGTAGTGCATGGGCATGCGAGACTCCTCGCCCAATTGGCTGCGGTCCTGCCAGTCGCCAAGGGCACAGAGCTCCTTGCCGGTGAACTTGAGAAGGGAACCAAGTGTCGGCGCCACCCTGCGAAAGGAGTAGGTGCTCAAGGCATCGGCGTCCTCCAAATACGAGTGGAACTCGGTCCGCAAAACCAGGTTCACCTCAGACAGCGCCCATGGTCGTCCGTCCCGTGCGGAGGTGCGCTGGGCTGCCCGCGGAAGAGCCTTCCATGCCTCGAGGAACACCTCCGCCCAGGGGAAGCCGCTGAGGAAAGTGCTCGGAATTATGAAGCTGAACCCTTGGCGGAGCTTCTTCTGCTTCCCCTTGGGACAGTCGCTCGGCCATCGTCACATGCTTGTAGCGGAGCACTCCCGACATGACCAACCAGCCGCCCAGAAGCGCAGACCAGCGTTCCTCGCCAGCCTCAAACATCTGGACGATCCGCCGCTCCAGGCGATTGACCATGCTGGGCTCCATCACCGCCGCCTGGCCACGCTTGTGAGGCCGAGATGCCACTTGTCGGGGCAACTGGATCATCTGTTGACCTTAGCCTGGTTGAAGATCCAGCGCAAACTTGCCAACGAGCGAGCCGGTGCGGGCGTGGCCTCCGTGATGAAGACCTCCAGGTCCAACAGCTCCGGTGGAAAGGACCGCCCCCGCTGCTGAAGGAAGCCCTCGAACTCCGCCCAGGTCCGCAAAGCATTCTGGACGGTCACCTTCTCGGCTCGCTTGACCAGCTGCTGAGTTGCGCCCGGTCCAATGGTTGCGCAGGTCCAATGGTTGCGCAAGAAATCCGCCCGCACCCTCCCGGACGCAAGTGGCGCGAGGAGCAGGAGATCCAACCTCTCCAGGTTAGCACGGTAGCCACTCCACACTTCGGCCGGTGACGCTCCAGGCTGGGCCAGAACACTACGGCGAGTCCAAATCCCGAGCCACGGGAAACGGAAACCCCCCCTACCTTGCTCACACCGTGGGCGTGGGGAAAGAGTGCAAGGGCATTCCTCCAAGGGGGGCAACCCGCCAACAACAAACTCCGCATCAGGGAAGTGTGGTTCATGAATGAAAACCACCACGGACTCCCATAGTGCCAAAGCCCCCGCCCGGTCCCCAGGCCCGCGGAAAGAAGGGCCTCATCGCAATGCACCGCCACATCAACACCCTGACGTGCGTACTGCATGGGGCGCACGAAGAAGAAAATACACTTAGCCAGTTTGGCTCAAGGCACTTGAGCCAAAATGGTAATTGTACAACACCATGAGGAATGATCAGTGTCTACCCAAGCCTACCAAACTCGAGACACAACCACGACAGTGTGGCAGAAATCAATAGAGAAAAGCTGCAAGCCAAAGACGGTTGGCAGTATCTCCTCAGATACCTAGACGGCACTAGAGGCAAGGAAGGTAGACCTTCATGGAGATGCTTTCACTGAGTTCTTCTTGAAAGGAGACACTCCGAAGAGATGGCGAAGAGCTGGCGGAGTATGAAAGCCGCTTTCGGGCTTTGGTGCACCAACTCAAGAGCAGACAACAAGATTCCATCGGAGATCTATGGATGGTTTCTGCTCAATGTCTACATGCGCATGGATCCCTCGGATGCAAGGATGCGGCGACATCGTCAAGATGGACAGGTGTTGTTTTTGAGGGAGGAAGATAAGCGGCCAGAAGGTGACGCACTGCAGCAAGCAGTGGCGTGGTTCCAGGCAGCGCTTCTAGAGGACCAGAGGCTAGCAACCAGATGTCCCGCAAGATTTCTCGGACAAGATCTGCATGCGATGTGGGGAAAAAGGGGCCACATTGCCAGGTCCTCGAAAAATTGCGCGGACCGCCGTGACAGGTCAGGGCGACAGCATTGGCTTCGTAGGTTGGTTGGAGTTGGTGACGCAGGACGCAGAGCCTCAGACTGGTGACGTTTATAGCATCCACTCCGCTGCGAGGTCGTGCTGTCTGGAATTTGAGCCCAATAGTGAACGCAATTTTTGCTTTCTGCTAAGGCAACCATCACGCTCATGAACATGATCGTATTGAAGGAAGCATCAAAAGATGCTAAGCAGTTTTGCCAATGATTTGGGAATCGGATGCTCCTGGCGCCCCTGAACCGCCAGACGCTATGAAGCACCAGAAGAACATCAGCTGAGTCTCTTTCTTTTGCCCGCACGAGCCATGAGTACCCCGAAGCGCCGAAGGAGGCGAGGAAGAGGAGACTGCAGGCGGGAAGCACGCCGCGACTACCCCTGCAAGGGGAGGCGGCTTGGAAGAGGCACGTTCCCGGAGCCGAGGACGTCAAGGTCCGGCCCCACATCCGCAGCAGGCCGCACAGACGAGAGCCAGGCGCCGCCCAACAAAAGGTGGTCACCACAGCGCGCTGAAGGGCGACGCCAGTGCCGCGAGAGGGATCGGACGTCGACGAGGCGGCGAACGAGGTCGAACGCCTCGGAACCGAACCCGCAGGTGAGGGTGGCCATTCCGGCGCACAGACAAGACCAGCGTCACATCGCAGCAAAGGGCCTCGCCGAGGCGAGTCGCGCATACAGGACGAAGTCCAGACGCCGGCGATCATCTGCGGCGACCCCAGGCGCAGCTGTGTGCGCCAGCCACTGCTGCGACGCAAACCCAAGCCTGCTCGATGAGGGGGGCGCGGCGGGCAAGAACACCGCTGCGAGGACACGCAGCAGCATGGTGGACAAGGACATCCGATCGGACGGCGACAGGGTGGGCAGCAACTCGCGCTTGCGAAAGCAGGTGTGAAGAACACGAGACGCGCGAAGCTGCCAACCGTCGTGTGGAGCCGGCGGCGCAGCACGTGCCAGGACATGCTGCCAAGAGGGCCGCCGCGGCGGCGGAGCAAGTCTTCGCATGCGCGGCCTCATCCCCTACCAACAGCTCGCGCACACAGCGCTCAGCAGCCTCAGGTCGGCGTTGCGCCATGACGGGAGGCAGTCCGCCCACGTGCCCCAGTAGGCTGGGGGCTGCGCGCTCCGCACAGCAAGCCAAGGCCACCCACGCGTGCAGGGAGGAACGCGCAGGTGCGGGCGTGAGGCCACACCCCCAGGCTCGCACAGAAGAAACCATTTTGGGACATCCCTCGCAAGACTGTATGCTTTGATTGCTCCGTGACGATGTTCAGATTGCCCAGCAGTTTGATTGCGCTTCGTCGTGGCAGGAGGGCCTCAGCCAGACCAGCCACTTTACCTTGGGTTGTGTCACAGTCTTGCCACTTTTTGGCATAAACCGAAGGAACCTGTGTGCGCTTTGGGCTTGTCCATGATCGACGAAGCAACAGACTACCATTGCGCCGTGACTGTCAGAACGACAAATGAAGGACATGTTGGCAGTATCAATGGCGATGAGTTCAAGAAATGTTTCTCAGAAGGCTGGTTGAGGAACTTCCCTGCACCCTCGTTGCTTCGCTACGACGACCGCGCGGGGGGAAGCCAACGTCCTCCAAGCAGAGTGGAAGCGAGGGCGCGCTGCAAGGCGGCGCTGAGCAGCCAGCGCCCACCACCTGCGGCGCCAACCCGCCTCGGCCGCGCGGCGGACGGCTGAAGGCGCGCGGAGTGAAAGGAGGTAAGCCGCATGCCTCGGGGCCCCACCGCCCGCCCGTTTCACAAGCAAGAACGACCAGCCGCTGCGGGCCAGGCCGGCAAAGCTCCGGGCACCGCGCCTCCTTGCGGCGCCGCGCTACCGCAATGGCTGCGCCGTCCTCCTCGGCCGCGCGTGGCTGCGGTCGGCCGTCGCGACGGAGCGGAGCAACGAGCGTGGCAGCACAGCGCTTCGCCCAAGCGCGTGGCGCCGTAAAGAACAAGATCCAGGCGGCGCCTGTCCTGCGCACTGACGCCTGGCGCAGAAGTGTTGGCCAACCACTGCTGAGGGAGGGTTGCCCTCGGATCCCAGGCCTTCACGCGCGACGCGGGCCCACGCTTGTTCAATCAAGGGGGCGCGGCGGGCCAACACTCCGCTGCGCATGGTCGCCCAAGACATCGAGCGCGGCGCCGCACCCCGGGAACCCATCGCCTCCGCAATACCGGTGCGTGAGGGGCAGCGCGAGGCGCAGGCGCCTGCGCAAGGCGACGTGCATGTGCGCCGGGGCCGGGTCAGTCGGCACAGCCGCAAGCAAGCCAAGCCCCGGCACGCGGGCCAGACTACGAGCGGAGACAAGCGCGGTCGCTCGGCCGCATGTGTGGCAGAAGCTCGGTCTCGCGAAAATGGGAGTTGAGTGCGCGATACAGCCAAGAATTGGTGGCTCCCACGGCGCCCGGAGGAGGCCCCGCTCGCTGCCACGCGGTCTGCGCCAGCTCAGGCGGCTCGCCCACCGCAACGCGGCTTTCAGGCTCCGAATCGGAGGCATGGACCGGCTCAGCTGACACTGACAGGGGAAGTGGCGTAGGCGGGACAGTGGGACAGCTGCACGTGAGCCGGAAGTGACGTCATGCTCCCACACCCACAATGCGCCGCAGTCGGGGCACGCTGCGCCCGCCCCCGCTGGCACGCGCACCTCCTCCCAATAAGTGGCACGCGCGCACCACGGGCACACCCATGCGCCTTGCCAAGCGGCTACGCCGCTCTCATGGCGCCGAGGGATTGGCGACCAAGGCGCGGCGCGGTGCGCAAGTTCGATGAAATCAGGACGGCGCCGAGGTGGCGACGGGGGGAGCCGTAGTCCGCAGTCGGCTGGGGGGGCACGGGCGCACGAGCGCGCCGGGGTTGGCTTGCTCGTACAGCCCCTGTTCGAAGCCCAGGCGGCAGTCTTGCAAGTGACGTAAAGATCATCGATAAAGGCCAAAAAAAAGTCTTCGAGGGCAAATAGGGCTGGCATCAGCGGATCGCCCTGCTCCCCGCCTTCCAGGCGGCGCCTGTCCTGCGCATTGACGCCTGGTTGCCCTCAGACCACAGACCTCACGCGCGACGCGGACCCACGCTTGTTTAAGCAAAAGGGCGTGGAGGGCCGACAGTCCGCTGCGCGGGCACTCTGCCGCGTGGCCGCCCAAGACATCGAGCACGGCTCCTGGAGCAGTCGTGTGGGCTAGCCGTTGCTGCGGCACGACGCGGCACGGCCATTGGGTGGCCAGGACTACGCTGCGCCCGCTGCTGGGACAAACCGTCCAATTTGCCAGGGGGACGTCCGGGGGCCCAGGACCTGCTCCCCAATGGCAGCCACCACCTCGTCGGCCCCTCCGTCGTCCGGGAAGCGCACGGCTATCTCCAGGGCCGAGGCTGCCTCCGTGACTCCGAGCTTGCCGGTCAGGAGGCCGTCCACCTGCGCGATGGTGTAGTAGCTGAGCAGGGCGGCGGCGATGCTCGAGGCCGTTGCTGCGTCCTGGTCGGCAGCCGCGCGGCACGCCGCCAGCGCCGAGATGATCTGGTTGGTCGTGAACATGTCCTGGCACGGGCCCGTCCGGTAGGCCAGCAGCGCGCCCGCGATGGCTGCCTGCGTCTGTGTGTCCTGCGCGATTACCGCACAGGGCGTCTACTTGCGCCGAAATGTAATAGGCCAGCAGCGCAGTCGAGATGGCGCTGGTCGTCTCGGCGTCCTGCGCTGTCCCCGTTCGGTAGTCGACCAACAGTGCGTCCACGTGCGCCGAGGTGTAGTAGGCCAGCAGCGCAGCCGCGAGGGCCGCGTCCGCCGCTGCGATGGAGTAGTGTCGTCGCCGTTGGCCTGGCTCAGAGCGCGGCGTTCGTGGCGTACGAGGCCAGCAGCGTCGCGGCTAGCAAGCTGCGCTGCGACGAAGGTCTCGGTGGCGAGACCCAGCAGGGCATTTGCTATCTTGGTGTCTACATTCAACTTCAAGGGCCTCGTTTTTGCAAAGTTCAACTCGTCATATGACAGGGACATGGCCGCGGCACTTTTGCGCAGTGCCAGCATGACATGTGGTGACAAGCACGTGTGGGCAACGCAGGACTTGCCGATCCCTGTGCGAGCTCGAAAAATGTTTTTGCTAGGGCTTCGCTGGCAGTTGGGCGAGTGGGGCTTTTCCAAGCGAGAGATCGAGGTAGGTGATGAGTACTTTTTCCTTGATGATTGCAGGGAAGGTCGTGGTCAAGCTCACCATGAACGAGAGTGGCATCCAATACCATTGGGCGGAGGAGTGGGCGCAGTGGGATGATTTCCAAAACAGCCCCGAGCTAAGCCAGTTGTGCGAGAAGGCTAACAGCATTTGGCACAAGCAGGGGAAGGGCTCTG